ACCTTCGTGGCTAACTTGGCTTCAGTAAAAGAGGTTGGTGTGAGAGTTACGATAGCATGTTTATGTGCCTGCCCCGTCCTCCTTACTACGTCCCCTAATTTCAGTGTCGTTTATAGCTTTCATGTTCTTCTCCACCATCATTAAATCATCTCACTAATAATTTAAGTTTATTATTATTATAAATGGTGTATCATACAGAATGTTTGAAAGTTCTTGTTTATTTGCCATTGAGCTAATGTTGGGTTATAATTTCAGGATAAATTTACAATGCTCAAAAAAAATTTATGAATGAATTTTTCAGATTTTCAAACTATCTAACGCGTAATAACTGCTTAACCGCTTCAAATAATGATACAGTTGAACTAGAAAAGACAGTAAACTCTGACTTAAAAATCTTAAAAAGTGGTTGACAGCAAAGTAACTTAATTAGAATTTTCGCATCAACAATTTACATATTGCAGCAATTTTTCACTTCCGTCACAAGGATTGTACACAGGCGCCACTCGATGTGGGAGCCTTTGATGTTCGCCTGTTTTGAGTTCTCAATCCCGGGTATTTTAAAAAATTTTTTGGGAATTGTTGTTCAATGTAAGAAACGTTCTAAATATGGATCTCGCATACAATTGAAAGCAAGAAACTAACTATAAAACCCGTAAAATTTTATTTGACGAACGTATTTTACAACAAAACTGTTTCTCACCTCATATCCTTTGTATCCTGTCCGATGGCATTAAAAATTTTGTCCATAAGTGAATTTACATTCGTCAACTTTTCGAAAAACAACTCTTCATAATATTAACATATATACATTCTGGCCATTTTATCTGGCTGGAGTAATGGCGGACGCAACGGATGCGCATTTGAGAACTGGGTGCAAGTGGGGGACAGATTTTTCGCTGAGTGGCGCTTCTGTTACGTATCTATTCTGTGATAGAGTTATTAAACTTTAAAGTTTATAACAACCTTATTCTGCGCCTGTGTGACATTTTTTTCATCAAGTTATATAATATTAAATCATAAAAATAGATTTTGTATACTTGTTATTTTCTTGGGAGCGCCACGGTACAAAAGCGAGCATTTACGTTACTATAATTTATACCAATATAGACATGGGTTGCAAGCTTTGCAAGAAATTCTACAACAACAGAAGGTTTGAACATGGGGAGCGTGACGCAAGCAATGGTGAACAAAATGTTCAAAATCGTCTTGGTGAAATGACGGCAGGAATAGAAAATGGTGGAAGACGTCATCCCATACAAGAGACTCTTATTGAGGAATTCAATTTTTTACCTCATGTCTTGGATTTGATAAGAGAATATGGATATTCCATGGAGCTGAATGATTTTGTGTTGAATGTTCAGTCAACACAAGAAGAAGTTTAAATCAGAATGTATTAGTTGCCAATTTTCAGGTGCGTTTTTCAAAAGTCGCATTTTACATGAGCCGAATGCGTTTAAAACAAAAGAGAACGAGGAATTTATCTAATATTTTGTGTCTTGAATGCATTTGGCGTATGTAAAATGCCGCGATTAAAACTTATCTAAGTATAGAAAGAACCAGTCACTATATAATAGTGTAAAATGTAAGCACTTGAAAACGCATCTTGTTTCAAAAACGGAAACTTTCAAGGACATATTTGTTTACATCTTGTGTAACTTATTGACAAATAACTTTCGCATTTTACATGAGCCGAATGCGTTTAAAACAAAAGAGAACGAGGAATTTCGTCTCAATTTCTTTTTGTTTTGAATGCTTATGACACATGTAAAATGTGCCGTGTGAACCGGGCCTTAGTATAGAAATAAGCATTCATTATTTATCATCGTAAAAATAACCATTCACTATATAATAGTGTAAAATGTAAGCACTTGAAAGCGCATCTTGTTTCAAAAACGGAAACTTTCAAGGACATATTTGTTTTCATCTTGTGTAACTTATTGACAATTAATTAATGTAGCTATTTAATAACTTTCTTTAAACTTTTGTATGTAAAATATATATTTATTTTTTTTATCTATGTCATTATTAACTTTGAATGGAATGATAATTTTTGATGTAACAGTTTTAACAGTGTTTTTAACATCAAACCGTTCACCGTTTTCTCTCGAAGTGTTTCTAGTAGACTAAAGCAGTTGATTTCAAAACAAGCCAAATAATAATGGTAAATTCTGGTTATTTAAAAACAACGAGAAGATATTGTAAACTGCTACACACATGCAGAATGATTTCATAAATTGTTTAATGTATTTCCCTCGTGTTGAGTGAGACTTATTCAAGCTCTTGACCAATCACCGCACCGCATTGTGTTTATTTTATGACGCCTGATGACGCCTAGATGACGCCTGAAGCAGAACAACCTGATTGGCTGAAATGCAGTGTAAGGCAATCATTTTTTGAGTAATGGTAAATGTGATATAGTTTTATATTTAATCTGTCCGTTCATCTTTGCTGCCCTGGCATACTTCTGTAGCGTGGAAATTTTCCAACGTAAGTTTATAATGTACTATTTTCATGAAAGCACTTTACACTTAAGTTTTAAGCATTTTGATTCTTATAAATAAACGTTCAAAGACGAGTCTATTTGAGAGCACGCGGTTTTGGTGAGCACTTTAAATATCGATTTGTGTCATATGTTTAAGTGTGACTTCATGTTTTCTTTATCCGTTCTTCTTCCAGGCTTTTAGGATGAATAAATATCCAATCATTGGGAAACGTGAACGTTCTAAAATCAAGGAAAATCGAACTACTAAAAACAATGAAGATGTTGAGAAATATGTGACTGTTCTTGGCGACTGGCGTTCCCAATTGCGTACCCTAGACAGACATGAAAGTGCTGGTAAAACTGACCGCCACTTAATTCGTTCATTTTATGTTCTTCATCAGTGTCTTGTATTTTGTTGTATCTTGTTGGACAAGGTAAAGACATTATTGTCTGATAAAGGCAAACTCACTTATGAAAAGATAAATCAACTGAATGATCTAAAAGTAGATCTCTACAAGTTAACCAAGCTTCTCGATGAAATAAATCTGATCTACAACAATTTTTGTGGCTTTAAGCAAGAAATAACAATTGAGTATGTGTATGAATTTAATCTTGATAATGCTTTGAGTAGTATAGAAAGTGCCATTTCCAATCTAAACCATCCTGAGATAAATGATCTCTTTGACTTGGATATCACCCCAGAAGATGTTCTGTGCTCAGTGCTTGGTTTGAAAGATGAGTTTGCTTGCAGGCTTCTCGAACTAACTCCTTACATGAGAAAACACAAAAGTGAAAAGGTACATTTGCTAAGATTTTAAAGGAGTTTAAGGAAGAAGACAGCTTAAAAGATCTCAGAGATGGTGAAAAGGTTGCTAAAATCTTGTGCAAGATTGGTTTTACAAAGCATCGATCTGAATTTATTGCTAAATGGATAACCAGCATGGCAGATCCAAATCACAAACCAATTTTCTCTTGGGTGAAAACTTACATTGAAGATCATTTTAAGTATGATATCTTCTTAAATGATCAAGTTTCGTATTTTCCTTTCAAAATTGATAATGAAAATGAATGGTTTACTGTGAATATCCCACGTTTAGATGAAGAGGGAAGACATAGTCATCCTATAAATATGATCAATGTTGCATCGCAAGAAGATGCTCTACACCATGTTGGATCAAAAGTTGCTGAACTAAATGAAAATAATCCTGAGACAGAAGTATATTTCCATTGTACTGATCACAAAGTGCTGTGGATATTCTGGAAATTGGAATTGTGCTGGGTTTTGGTCGAAAGAAATCAGACTTCTCTGATGGAGCAGGTTTCTACATGGTAAATAATGCAAAGTTCTCATTAGAGCAATATGGATTGAGCAGTACACATCCAGCTATTATCATGTTTGATGTGAGTCCTCAAAACTGAGCAAGTTTAAAGGAATTGATTTATCCAGTGCTGAAAAGAAGAAGATTGGAAATTGATTGTTGAGTATTTTCGCTCAAGTAGCCATGGTATTGGTAATTTACCAAGAATTTGTTCTCACACATAAGACAATGTGATTACATCAGAGGGCCTGTTTCCTAAATGGTTCTATTGAAAATAACACATTATCTCAAGGTGTTGAACAAATTTGCATAAAAAACGAGAATTGGCCAAGCTAATTGGGCATCCATCATTAATCTTAGGCGTTATTTTTCTTAAAGCTCATGAACTGATCCAAAAGGGAAATGAGCTTGGCAGTAAAGATGACGACCATGACATGGCAGAATTGAAGATTGAGCCAATAATAATTGACAAAATCTAAACATGCATTATAGTAATAAACATTTGAAAGTTGATTTTGTAAGTTGTTGTAAATTTCAGGAACCTTTAATCTTATAACCGACAGGTGTTATACCCAAGAACAGTTGGTATAACATATTTTATTGTATACTTATATGTAGAACCAACAGTAGATCATTGTAAACTATGATTATCTTTTACTATTTATACCTGAACATTGTGACATACTTAAGTTAGGAAACGAACTATTTACTGCTTGTTGTAGATTAGATAATTTGATTTGGCTTTTGTGTGATGTCATGATAAATATCAAAAAAATTGGAATTTTTGTTCTTTAGTATTCATTCTGTTAGCATTGTACTTACAGCTTCTTGATGATGCCTTTAGAGTGCTGAGTTTTCTTGCTTAAAAAATTTGCAAAACAACACTGGTTTGCTCTTTGTACAACTACATAAATCACAAATGTTTCTAATATTAAAGGCAAATCAGCAATATGCTACTGCATAACACGTGATTTAATCCTCTAAGTATTGAATATTTATATATAGTCAATGGCGCGGTATATTAATGGCTTTGTTATTGTGAAATTGAGATTCAGTGTTTATTTGTTGCTTTGAATTGCATTCAGAGCTACAAAATTTCGACAATGACTTCAAGAAAGCGTTGCTACAATGGATTAAAACACGCAAAACAACATATGATATTATTTTTCATTTTATTCGGCGTACTTTGTGGATTTTACTTGGTTCTTTATTACATGGCAATGTTCAGTCGTCCATAGATCCAACACCGAAGGAATATGCAATGTACGTGTCGTTTCTTGGTGAGATTTGGGTGAGAGCTTTAAGACTTTTGGTTCTTCCTTTGATTGTATCCAGCTTGCTTTTGGCAGTCGCTGAATTGGAGTCAAAACAGAGCGGAAAATTGGGAAGAAGAACATTGCTGTATTGTCTTATGACTACAATGTTTGGGGAGTAATTTGTTTATTTGCATTTAACCTGGAAATGTTAACGTGAAAGAACCAGAACCGAACGAAGAAAAAGTTGAAACAATACATTCTGTGCTTGATCTTATAAGGTTTGTGCAAAATATTCATAAATTTACTGAATTTGCGCCCTGCTTTTGCTTTTACTGCGAAAATTTTCAAATACGTAGAAGTTATATTCTATCAGTTAACGACAATGCTTTTATTTTTTGAAGGCAACTTTATTTATTATAACGTAAATGTTACGTTCGCAAAACTGTGCAATTGTACGAGATTTTCGAGCGCATACGGAAATCGCGTTATCGCAATATTCACTAGATTCTTAATCTTCTATTTGTGACAAACTTGCCTTAAGTACTAGAGGTGGCTATGACTTTTTATACATTATTACATACATATTTGACACTTTTTTTACTATGCCAAACGAACCATAACTACCAAAGTGATAAACACCACAAGATCATGCTATGTTATAGAATACCCGTCCATTCACTATCTACTTATATAATATGCCTCGTTCTTTATACTTTGTTCTTTATTTTGACCATTAAATGACACTAAATGATACTGGATAAATAATAATTAAGAACTAAACGATATTTTAGTTTAGTGATAAACACCACAAGATCGTAATCTTAAATGGATAAGTTAATCTGAAACAAAACCTTTACAACAATGACATTGAAATATAAAAATTACAATAAACCTTCCACACTCCACTCATCACACACTCAATTTCACATCTCTTTGAGACAGTGAGTGGAAGGTTTATTTAAATTTTTGAATTTTAAAGTCATTGTTCTATAGGCTATGTTTCAGAATAACTTATCCATTTCAAATCGTTTTATTTCACAGCTTTTAACCTTTTAATAACGAGATAATTGTTAAGTGATTATTGCTGTCATCAGATTGTTTCATTCCTAAATAGTTAATCTCTAAACAAGTTAATTATGACGCGCAATTTTTATAACATTGACCGCAAGACGTAAAATTGGCCGTTTGATTGTAAATCATGATTTTAATCTTCCGTGCCATAATATTTCGCATTTTAGGCTCTTGTCCACTGCTCACTGCGAAAATTAACTGTGAAGTGTTAAGTAAAGAAAGGGTTGCTGAATGCTATGTAGCTGATCTTCAAAGTACGTAAAATGTCTTATGAGATATTTTTGCCTATAGAAAATTTTACTATGTTAAATTTTAGCGACGAAGTTCACTTTCCTTGTCTGTGAATATCAACCATATTTATAGCACAGTAACTTGTAAGAACGTATTCTTTGGAGACAATGATTATCTCGTTATTATATTCCCTGGAAAACACGTTTTATTGAGCTGGTGGCTCATGGCTTGTGTATTCTAATTTCTAAAGCAAAGTTCAATATTTATAATTTCTTGACAAACACGAAACGGACATTACGCGCGACAGAAGAAAACTGCATAGTCAATTTAGTCAAGTAGGACTTCTGCTTACCCAGGGCCGGCAACACTGAAGATTTTTTTGTGACAGAGTTTTCTGTAATTTTCCTCTAAAACAATTATATTGTTTCTTCCCTTAATACGCTCTGTCCGAAGATCTTATGATGCATTGTCTTACATTCACATGATGGGTATGTTAAGGGACTTCCTCTTGCAGATGAAGCATATCAGATGAAGTGACTGTTGCATTATGGGTATTTTGCACGGCAGCACATACCAATTTATGTGTTTATTAGCATAATTATCAGTCAGTCAAGCTTTTTTAAAACCATTATGAATCAACATTAACATCATCTGTCGTCGTACATGAACTGTTCTTAACCAATAGAGCTATACCTCATATTCATCATGTCATTTTAACTTTTAAATATGTTTATGTCAAGATTTCAATTGTAGAATGATTATTATATATACTACTGAACATTGTGTACAACAAGACAACTGTCAATAAATGAGTTGTCAAGAAAACGAACCTTAAGAACCAAGAATAGCACAAAGCTTTGTTTCACATCACTGTATATGACAGATCATTCTCATTGAAATGCATCAAATTGCAATATTGCTACATAAACACAATGAGGATGGACATTTTGATGTTCACGAAAACAAGATTTAATTATTTATAGATGTTCCAAATGTGCACAGCAATGTAATTATATCTTACAATAGCTGTGCCAGGCCTAAATACCATACAATGATAAATAATCTTTTGAAAATTTCACTGTTTGATTGTAAACTGTTTTCTTCTTCAAGATAAATCCCATTTGACCACCAACCTATGTTGTCGTGACAACAACAATGAATCGAGAAGAAGGTTTGAAAGCTTTGGAAACATCTATCAAAGCCATTGAAGAAGTCATTATGAACAAGAAAGGAACATTTGTTTTACAACAAGCTGTAAATGTTTGGTTTATATTTATATGAAAAGTATATTGTATCACTAAAATGACATCCCCCTGGTGCCTCTACTGTCCTCATATCATCCTGTTACCATTTCCTTAAGTACTCCATGCTGTATTAAGATGGTCATATTCAATCATTAGTCGTTTATTTGAAAATTACAAAGACACCATCCCAATGCATTGAAATCAATAATGTTAGGACCCTGTGACATTGGCAATAATTTATGTTAACTGTCCACAAAAATTATTTTTTTCTAAAGCTAATTATGCATTGTGATATCATAAGGATGTTTTTTGCATATTGAAGAAAAGTTATGTGTCTCCAAAACAAAATAAAATAACAAAGCACATGTTCACATCATGACTGTCTCATGTTTGCTTTGTCTGACTGTGTAACTATTATCAGAAGGACATCACTTGAGTCCATTGGACATTTTACACACCTGTATGATGTATCAAAGATGTGGAATCATACAATTGACGTATGTTTAATGAGCTGCTTTTTTTACAACGTCAGAGAAAAAAATAAAACAAGCAGAGTTTGTCATGTTCTTATTCAAGTAGTACTTTATGTTTAACTTAGGAGCTAAACATGTTTCATACAAAATGTTTTATGGTTTTGATTGGTTATATGAAATGATATTTAATATGTATTACATATAATTGAACAACAGTTTTTCTATTATGTCTGTTGACATAAATTATAAGCGACACAATACCAAATGGACAAAAGCACAGTAATTTTAAAACAAAGGATTGATATGATGAGCAACAAACAGCAATATCTTTTATATTTTGTCACTTAATTTAGACAAAGTAATTGTATAACCTTTTATTTTAAACTCTCTTATAACTAAGTTAATTTATTACATGTTTGTAGATGTAGATCGTCCGGGTTGGTATAATCCTGAGAAGGACTGTTTTTGTTGTTGTTGACTGACGTTTCGACAACCTTAGCGGTAGTCATCTTCAGAATCAAATCAGAAGTAAACGTCAGGTTAGCCATATTTGTTATCTGGTTCTTTCTTACGCAGCGGTGGTTGAACCAGAGTTGTTGGCGTATGCGTCTGACGTTGCTTGCAAAACGTATGTAGTCGTTAGCAAGTTGTTCGCTCTGTCGTCCAAATGATCGTAATGAAGTAAATGGTTTGAACCAGGAGTATCGTTACATGTTTGTAAATGTAGATCGTCCAGGCTGGTATAGTCCTAAGAAGGACTGTTTTTGTTGTTGTTGACTGATGTTCAACCACCGCTATGTAAGAACCAGATAACAAATACGGCTAACCTGACGTTTACTCCTCATTTGACTCTGAAGATGACTACCGTTAAGGTTGTCGAAACGTCAGTCAACAACAACAAAAACAGTCCTTCTCAGGACTATACCAACCTGGACGATCTACATTTACAAACATGTAACGATCCGGGTTCAAACCATTTACTTTAAGTTAATTTATAAAAGTAACAGCAAGAAGTAACACTGTATGTATGTATAATATGCAAACATTAAATTAGGAGTAATTGGAAGAGCAGTTTTCCAAAGTTCATTTTACAAAATTTGCATGCTAAAGACAAGCGGTAGAAAAGCAATTGCTTCATTTAAATTATTGATCTTTACATGTATATGTTGCAGTTGACATGAAAGTTTGAACTCAGCCAATAAGGAATTTCTTCATTTAAATTATTGATGTTTACATGTATATGTTGCAGTTGACATGAAAGTTAGAACTCAGCCAATAAGGAATTTCTTCATTAAAATTATTCATCTTTACATGTATATGTTGCAGTTGACATGAAAGTTAGAACTCAGCCAATAAGGAATTTCTTCATTAAAATTATTCATCTTTACATGTATATGTTGCAGTTGACATGAAAGTTAGAACTCAGCCAATAACCAATTGAATCATGTTAACTGGAGCTTAAAGAATGTTTTCTGTATTTTGTTCAATTTGTTGCTCACCAGCACAAGATCAACACATCCATTAACACCAACAATTATACGGTGTCATATATGTAGCTCTCAGTCTCCCAGTGTTTGTGTGTTAGTATATTATTTGATTTCATCTGGATTCATGTTACTCAGATGTTTTCAGCAAGGAATCACTTTTATACACATACAAACTTGAATGGTACAATCCATGTTGCGGTCATTATTCATGGCACATTAGCATTCTATTTTCATACATACAGTGATTATGAGCATGGAATTGATTTGTTGTGTAGGACTGATTACACATTACATGAAACATAGGGGAATGGGACTTATTGGACCTATAAGTCCATGTCTTTCGCAAACTGTAATGTTTGTTTCTTAAAATATTAAAATGCACTGCTATATAAGTGTCACGCGCTCGGAAAGCCGACGGCAAGCTCGATTGAGCATAAGTATATCCACTTCAGGTGCTTTACTTGCGACGATTATAGAGACGTCCTCGCAAATTTAACATAAAATTCATTGCTATTTTGAATGAAAACTGTTTTTATTAGATAAATACTATATCGTCATTTGTCATCCAAACGCTTTGTGAAGAGTAAAATCGTCCTTCACGGATAAATCAAACGAAATATTTTTCTATAAATGAACAGAGTCAACAGAGTGATGATTTAATGAGTTTAACTTGTGAAAGCAAAACTTCCCTGTTAATTCGTTAGTTGAGTTGTCCTGGTAAAATTTATAATTCGTCTAAAACTCTTGTGGACTTTGTGGTCTAGTAGCTATGAACCCGAAATATTTATAGTTGTATAATTATGATATGTTCGTGTCAGTTTATTCCAAGGTCATGTTGTCGTTATCAAATTGATACAAACTCTTCCATAATAGGCTCTACAACACTCTCACTTTGTACTTTTCTTGGCCAACACATTACACATATTTTAAAACGAAAAGTATTTGAGATGCTCAAACAGTTATACTACGTAAAACATTTTTTGGCTCTGGCACTGTAAAGTCACTATTGAGAGCTTTTACTTATTTATTGTCTACTTGTAATAACACATTAAATGTACTCCTATCCAGCATGCGGTCAATAAAATATTCCTGACGTTAAAAGCGGCAATGATAACATGAAATCACATTGCTTTTCTAACTGAGTCAATCTCCTTGATACAAATGAGCAACCGTTCATAAAGCCATATTATTGCTATTGTTATAAAATGTACTTTTGTCACCCTGTGTGATGATGCAGACTTCGGCGAAATTATTTATTGTGGCGTTTTAGGCCGTCGTTTACACTATACCGGATTGCTATCGTAGCAGGTTGAATATTCTTTGTATTAAAAGGCAGTGAAATTGTTCAACGTCAGAAACACGATCAAATAGACTAAATCTATCAGCTTAATAAGCTTTTACTCCAAACAGTTACCCCTTTAAAACAAATGAAGATGTCGTGATGAGCGAATCCGGTATAGTGTAAACGCAACCTTATTCCTCAATACATGACCCGATGTTCGTGGTATTTACGTTGGTGGCAATTATTTGCAAGAAATATTATTTTTCGTAATCCCTAGTACCATATTTGGCATAGGTTTATGATGTAGAATAGGTTATTGTTTATGATCTTTAATCTTATTGGCTAAGCAAACACTCCATGGAAGTACGAAAGAATGTTTTATGCAGTGCGGTGTTTGAAATTAAGTGTAGATATGATTTTCGCACTTTGTTGGACAATTTAAGCAATTGTCTCATGAACCTGAAAAATTCAGGTGACTCAACGGGGTTCGAATCCCGTTGAGTCACCTGAATGAGACAATTGCTTAAATTGTCCAACAAAGTGGGAGGATCATATCAACATTTAACTCCATGGAAATGTTATAAAAGTGGTATCATTCTTCAGTGTTCCCAACAGTTGATATACAACAGCCCGACTACACATTAAACAATATACATCCACTGGATCCACGTCTTCTTCCTATATTGAAAGGTCTACACAGAATCATAGTGGAAAACTGTAAGCGTGTAAAACTGGAGACTTGACAAATTGACTTGATTCTTGTATATTTCTTTGCGTGGCTAACTTCGCTTTAAAAGAAAAGGTAGATATGACTTATCTATTTTATTTTACACTAGGTAATAAAATATTTTGCTATTCTTACGATTCGAACCATCCATTTCAACAACGCTTCGTCAAATGATAGTATGAAACAAGTTTCATACATTTCAGCATTTTTCCTGCTGGATCGTTTTTCCGATCATTTTGAACTACGTTTTTGATATCAAAAATATACTGCAGTACATTTTAGCAAAGTTATCGACATTGTGAGCTAAAATAATTTTTACTCCGAGGAAACCACGCAATTACAGCAAACCCGAGTTGTTTAGTTGTCTGTTTTTTCGCTTTTGGAAACAAAATATTCGCAATTTTAATTTATTATTATTATACTGGATGAAAGAAAATTGTTTATGATCTTCAATTTTTTCTACATTTCTATGTAGTCAGTGTGGGTCATGTGCGTACAACCCTACAATCCCGCAAATGTTTCAGAAAATGATCACGTGATATAAAGACAAATACTTATGAATTCCAGACTCAAAGATTTACTTTGCAAATTTCAGAACATTACCATTGATAATTTCTCTAGAAATGTATAGTTTCACCGTCTGAGAGTGGTGAAATTTGAAATTCGTAATAAGTTGGCTATTTTGTAGAATAGTCCAGATTATGCCTCTTTCCCTATTCTAATTATCTTTAGATCGTCATTTACAAAAGATGACCGAAAAGGTAAAAATCCTGTGTTGAAAAGAGAATAACGTTAAAGAAGATAGTTGTGATGGGCTAGAAGATGGCAACGAAAGATACGACAGTGCAGTGGAAAATGAAAGTATGGAAGATGGTGGAAATACTCGACCAATTCTAAATTTACCCATTCAAGAAACGCTTCCTGAAGAATTTTTGCTTGACCTGCAAGACTTGACAAGAGGAGATAGATGTGCGATGGAAATGCTCAACGAAGATTTGGTTTTGAATGTACCATCAACGTTAGAAAAACTTTAAAGATTTG